TCTTCGCAACATCTGTGGTCGGAACAGCGGAATCTTCTGATTGCAAGATGTCGGGGTCTCTGGACACTTTGATTCCAATGAACCCTGGAGTTGGAGTAGAGCAGCGCGAGCCATTCTTGTCATCTTCTCCCTTTCTGACTTCATCTAGTTTATCAAATGACTCCTTTTTATTCTCTGATCCGCTTGCATCGGCAGAGACTAGCTGACTCCTGGCCCTTAAGTAGTCCAATTCTTTCATGCTATCATCTTTCAGTCGGCTCATAACCAGTTCACCACTGTAGCCATTCAATAAATAGGTTTTATGTGAATCTGTGCAATGTGCTTGTATTATTGATGGAGGTCTGCTAACATGAATCTCATCTTCTCCCCAATGTGGATTATGTTGAATTCTTGAAGGTAGGAGTGATGTGTGGCTGGCAGACAGACTGAGGCTATCCAGACTATTGCAGCGATCTGTTTGGCTGGAAGGTTGCGAGGGTGTTGTAACGACACTGCCGGACGTGTTAGTTGCGATGGGAACAGAATGAGTATCTGAAAGGCGGAATGATGGTGCCTTGGTAAAAGTGGTGGTGGTTGAGAAAGAGTTTTCCGTTGAGATACCGGAGGAGATGGAAGTGAGGTTAGAAGGCTGTAGTTTAACCCTTTGTTTAGCCTCAAGCGCAAGTTGCCTGATCTGTGATGCTAGTGCATCAACCGGTTGACCTTTTGTAGGGCTGCAGCGAAAGAAGAAGCGGCCATCACCTGTGGGACATCGCCGGCCAGCATCAATGCGTAAAGTGCCATTGACACAGCCGAATCTATAAAAAATCCGATGGTAAAAGGAAGTTAAGAAATAAAAAATGAGCTCCAAATAAAAATATGAATAAGATATTGCCTTTATAGATCGGGGTATAGGTTATTTAATCGAAGAAGCAGCACTCATAAAATGTGACATTATTCAATCGACAGGACCAATAAGCGGAATTTTACTCCAGATTATATTTTTCAAAGAAGGAACAGGGTCTGCAGTACACACTACACGAAAGCATATTTCATAAATGCTTCGACTACATGATAGAAATATAATCTCTTTAGGACAATGCCTGATGCGTTTTGGTGAAATCAACTGTCTAATAGCAATTTACTTATAAGTGTCAGGCAAAG